CCCGGAATTAAGTATCACATACGTTGTTAATTTTTTATATCACATGCTTTGTTACTACTTTTTTGGCAGTGTTGTTTAAACAAAATTGACTTAGTATTTTCAAGATACTTTGCTTGCTATTCTGATATTTTAAATAATTTGGTGGAAGGAGAAACCTGTCCTCACCTGCATAGATCATCCACTGGTTACAATGACTATACTAATGCTAATTATGGTGAATAATTACTATTACAGGTGATTACAGGTTTAGTTCGTGCTTGTTGCAACCACCCAAAAAAAAGTATATATGAGGTGATAAACAAACTTATCACAAAAGATGCTGCATCAAACTGTAGTATTAAGGGCACTTCCCAGAAGTGCAATTTTTGTACTGAATTAAAAAATATTTATTCAGCTCTTATAGGTATAAACAAAGAAATTTTTTTTTATAATATATTTTGAGAAGTTTTGTAACTCAAGCTATATGAAAAGGTATTTCAATTTTAAATTTTAAACTATAGTTTTATTCATTGAGACGCAGTCAGGAGACTGCGTCTCAATGCAGTCTCAATGAGATGCAGTCAGGAGTCTGCATGTGGATGCCAAAGATATCCAACTCCACAGTTTTATAGGAAAATGGTTGCAACATGCTGGCGTGTTGAATATACACATGTTGCAAATGGTTGCAACATGCTGGCGTGTTGAATATACACAAAGAGAAAAAAAAAATAGAAAATCATAATAAAACATTATAATGATCTGTTTTTCTTTTACTTATAAAATAAAAAACAATTTTCTTTATTCTTTTATGACTGTAAATTAGTATTAATTTAAATACCCTTTTGGTATTTATTTTATTTCAATTTGTATATTCTTCTTATTGTATATTCTATTGGTGTTTATTAAATATATTATGCAAATCTTTAGATAAACAATAATCATCATTTAGGGGCATGTTAATTCCGTAGCCATCGTAAGCGCAACTCATTTAGTATAATAAAATGTCTAAATTTACAGAATTTTTGATGATTTCTGTTTAGTGTTGATTGATGAATTAACTTGTTTTATTTTGTTTACTTTAAGGCTTTAGAAATCTTGTAGAAATATGGAAAAATTAACCATTTTATTGAATATGGAAGAGTCCCATGTGATTAGTTGTTTGAGATAAATTATATGTTGTTGCTTTGATTACAAGTTGTTAATGAATAGCGTTTGATTTTAATCAGACAAGTACTAATTTGTTTAAACTTTTTTTTAATAGCTGTAATAACTAGTTATTGATATATCAACAATAATAATTTCCACGTTTTACATTTTAGAAAGCTTTTCTAAAGGTGAATTTTTAAACCTGAACTTTATCAGTCATTGAACTTCTGAATCTGAACACAGTTATTAATTGTCAGTGATGAGGCAAATGAAGATACTTGAGATGACTAAAGTTGATAGAAATAAAAAAGCTGAATAATTATGCCATTATTAATTATTGATTAATCATTATTATACTTCAGAAGTGATATTAATAAACCTAGTTTAAGTCGCTACCTTTACTTGCAGTTATACTAAATTGTTTTTCAATTGATTAAATTTTTTTT